GGACGAGAAATGTGCCAAAGGTGTGGCATGCTGCTCTTCTCGGGCGTGTCCTACTTCACGCCGCAGCCTCAAACACGCGGGTTGCGCTCAAGACGTAACAATTTAAGCTGTTTTTTCACCGCCGAACCACTGCCCCCAAGGGTTTAATATCCAGCCACTGTTCACAGGTATAAGCCAGGCTCGAGATGAGCTGTTGAAACAAGTTAAATGCGGGGATTGCAAGATGGGCGTCCAACAACGGTTCAGTTATGCTTAGAGCGGTTGCAATGATCTGGAAGCGTGTTTTTTTTTGCGCAGCAGGCCAGGAAACAGTGGGCATGTTTGGCTATGAGGATTGATTCAACCGAGTGTCCACGATGAGGAAGTCGACAAACAACGTTGTAAGCCGTCCCAGAGCTCAAACCATCTCAAGAGTGAGTGGAAAAATATTGGGCAGCATTCTCCACATCGGTGGAATCGGTGGCCCCGACGGTCGGGCCAAGCTTGCGAGAGACCTGCCTTCAGGGTGGTACAGCGCAAGTCCTTCCAGGTCTCAGCCGGAAGGTGGGCACTCTCGGTGAAGTGGGACTCCTGGGGCCGATTCTTGGCGCGATACTATTTCTACTTCCTGCACTTCGAGCGGCATTGGTAGTTGAAGTAGTGGCAGTGAGAAGCGTTCGACGCTTTCTCAGTGAAGAAGCTTGGAAGGAAGCCGCGCGTTCGTGTTCCTAAGCATGAACGCGGTCGTGTTTCTGGTGTGGATGCAGGTTATTCCTCGGTCCATCGCCGATGGGCGTCTTCATTGCTCTCGATCAAGTGTTGTGCCATTGGCCCGGAAATGTGACCGGCGTTTAGCTATTCAGCTTGCCGCCGCTGGCAAGTTGTTCACAACTTCTTCCATAGTGGTGACTATACCTGGCACTCGCTGTACCAGAAGCTTTGTCCATATTTTCCGTATATCAAGAACTGGCGCGCTGCAGGTGCCACTGTGGTTGCTGATTTGGAGGTTGCGTGTATCATGCTCGACCGGGGACAGTACGTAAAAATTGCCCATAAGGAAGTAGAGGAGCTAGAGCCTTCATCGCTGTTTGTGACATCACTCCACCAGGACCTGCTCTTTGAGCCGATTAGTCCGATTATGGACGACACATTTTGGACAGGTGGCCCTCGGGAAAGACAGTCGGGTCGTTTCTGATGCCCACAAATCACCATATTGACACGATTGACAACCGCAAACGCCAGTTCAGGTACTATCGCTTCTTGAAGCAAGCCTGTGGCATTATTTTGAAGTCATGAAGCATCACGGCATCCGTGGTGTCTCACCAGAACACCTCTTCAACAATATCACCGTGCATCCTCTTGATCACTTCATCGTGCACCAAGCTTTGGCTGGTGTTTAGGCTCGTTCTCCTTGGACGGATCTCATACATTCGGCTCTTTCGTGGCCGGATGCATTGTGCGTCTCTGGCTTGTGTATGACCGCCACCTCCTCTGCGCTTTATTTTGTCTCGCAGGGTCGTCCAATTCATGCACCAATGCGCAACAGGTGTACGAATGTAGAAAGACCAGGAGGCTACGAGGCAGTTGGCATCCGACCGGCTCGTGGCCTGCTGTTCCTTCTAGTTGTGCACCAGTTTTGTGTGAGCAAGGGACATCCAATTCATGCACCCATGTCCAACAATTTGAAGTGGCCATAAAGAAGAAGTGAAAACACTAGTTCTGGATCGATGCATCCTGTGCTACCTGCTCGACTCTCCCTGACAGGAACTTTAGGTGCTCCGAAGCATGCGCAAGGTCTCGAGAAGCGGACTATGCGCATTCAAAACAAACACTTGGCTAAATGACGTGCGAATCCGATTGTGGGGCCATGATCCCCAGGTTTGGCCTAATGGAACCTTGAGTCCTGACCAATCTCCTTTTGATTGGAAATGGCTGCTCCAGGCACAGATTCCTTGCTCATCGATCTGGGATTTGAAAGGATGTACAATGCCGCCACGGGCTTGTCCAAAATGGGAAATTCTGTTTGCCCAGTTTGAAAGGGAAACCAAAATGAGGAAATAACCTCGATTCCGATTGATTGTTGCCTGGTTCCAAAGGGAAGCGGAAGCAAACCCAACCACGAGTGCACCTCTTAAACTTCATGATGCTAAGTTGCTCAAAGGGTGGCCCCTCGCCGAGGTTTGGAGCCATCAAAAGCTCCTTGGAGGTCGGAGCGACATTCGAGATGTATCTGGACCGGAGGGATGGCTCAGGGTATGGACCTACCCGGTCTCCAAAACAACTCCCAAAAAAAAGAATTCTACGATTCTTCTCAAAACGAAAACTCATGTGGGTGTTTGCTAACTTGGGTTCCCATTGAGGGCGGTTAGTTGAGGGCACCCTCTTGGCGAGGACCTCTTTCTCGTGAACTTGGCGACGCAGGCACTGGCCACCTGGATGCATACCGCTTTTCAGAACCCGTGGTTCTGAGAGGAAGCAAAGACGAGAGGACAAAGTAGATGGTTCCTAGGGTCATCCTTGGTATGTCAAGTACTTAGGCTGGGTCTCCCGTGAGCCATAGTGGCACCTGGCTTGAGCGCCGGAAGGTGCCAAGGGAACTGGTCAAGGGAAGTGACTGCAAAGCTTAGCGAGAGAGGGGAGCTTGATGTAACTTACCCTCTTTCAAAACAAGCCAGAAAGCTGACAGGACACTTTTGGTCGCCCTTTCTTTCGGGCGTTGCCCACTTCAGGATTGGTTGTGCTTCTTTCTCTGCAAGCTGCCTTTCAATGGGAGCTGCTTGTCCAACTCGGTTGACATGAACCCACTTTGTGTGGCGCTTTCCTTTGGGTTTCCCAAAGCCATCCAAACTGTTTGTAACCCAAAGGCCTTGGTGAGGTTCTGGTGCAGGCCTTGGCCTAAGGTGACCTTCAGTGACTACGGGTGGCTGTTGTACCTCTCAGCCGGTCCCTCAGCTCAGGTGAGCGCGCATGGTGCAGGCGGCAGATGGTCTGATTTGATTCGTTTCAATGGGACCATGTTGGGATGCGAGCTGATTGAATGCTATGCCCTTTGACACATGACCCCTTCGATGCAGACCCCAGACCCTTTCTAGGGGCCCTTGATGAGGAGACTTGGGTATTTTGCCATGGCTCCCTCCCTGAAACCAATGCTTCTACGAGGTTCCGGGCTACGCCGGCTGGAAGATCATGAAGCTGGTCATGGACTACGTGCCTCTAGCGCATTCATCGTCCAAACTGCGCGCACCCCAAGGAAACGAAACGGGTCCCCAGATAGCAGAAACTGCGGCGGTAGATTGTTTGGGTGGCATGTCATCAGGGCCGGCAGTTGTCCGCGCTTTTCAGTTGTGGCCCTTCAAGCCAGCCGATGTGACACGGGCTCTTTGACCATTTTGTTTGTAGGCATGTTCCTTTACACCCAGAAATGATATGAATACCAGGCACGGGGCGCCAAAGTGTTGGCCTCGTAAGATCCGATCGCACGGTGCCTTTAGGGCACTGGATGCCGCTTTCGAAGGCCGCGAGACGCACAAAACATCCAGCGCTGGATGTGGATTGGCCTCGTGTTGGGGGGTTCGGCGGGCAGCCAAAAGATTTTTACTAAACCGGAGTCTCAAATCCATTCGAAACAGGGTTTGCACAAGGGACGATCGGTCTTGGAGCCAAGCCAAACCCAATTGTCTGCCCTGGTGATTTGGTTGTCTTTTCGTTCGCGTTCTATTTGACGACCTGCCAGGTCTTCACACCCACAGATGCGGAAATGGCCGAGAACGATCCTGAGGCGCCACGTTTTTTCTTTCCCCAACCCAGCGAGCACTCACATAGCATTGCATCCGCCTGATGTTGGCAGGGTGTGGCTTCTGTGAAGGGATGTGCTGGTTTTCCTGGGTGTTTGTTTGTATCCCAGTGGTGTTGTGTGTTCGCTGTGTGTTGCTGCGGGACCTTGTTTGTGGTTTGCTGCCACTTGTTGCTGCGTGTTTCTCTGTGTTTGTTGCGTGTGTAACTGGTTGCTGTTTGCGATTTACATGTGTTGCGTTGTGTTAATATACGTGCTTGTTGATATGCGTGTCGCATGGATGCGTGTAGATGGTCCTTGACTGCCCCCAACAGAAGAAACTCGTGCTTCCGTTGGGCCTGTCCCCCGCTGAGGTTCGATCAAAATATCCACTAGCCTAGGGTCAATCTAGGAGCTGGGAGGGACATGGGGTACTCACTAAAGCTCCAACAAAGACTAGCGGACTGACTGTCCATTGCAGGGACCGAATAGGTTGACGGTTGCAGTCGCTAAATGACTTATTTTACATGAGAGAAAGGTGCAAGGGTATAGATTTGTGTGGTTTTGTCCAGACCCAGCACTGGGTCCATCAAAGTGAACATCCTCAAAGCTACCATGCCACCGGGACCCAAAAGCAATTGTGAAATGCAACCACTCAAAATTTGGATTTGGATTGAGGCAGAAAACTCTGATCTTGGTGCGTTCGCATTGCTCCCCTTTGATCTAGGGGACTCGTTTAGACATCATTTCGGTCCAGCAACAAGCTAGCCGTTGCTTGCGACCATGGGCCTCTGCTTTCAGTACAAGAAGCGGATGGAGAAGAAGGAGAAGAAGGCAGAGCGTCAGAAATTCAAGGTCGGGCCCCTGGACAGGTTCAGCGATGGCGTGTGGTTTTTCTGTTTTGTTTTTCCGGTGGGTACCTGGTCAGTTTGTGTGCGTGTGTGTGGGTGTGTGTGTGTGTGTGTGTGCGTTTACAGAGAGAATTTGGTGTGGTCTGAAGGAGAACCAAACCGCATCAGTACCTTATTTTATGCATTTCAAAGGAGGTCAAGAAAAGACCAACCCAGATGGGATTCCTATTGTGAAATTACAATATGCATCCACAGGAAATGCCAGGTGGATCCAGACTGGGCGCTTGACCCATTCGGTTTTAGATGGAAGGGACCCCCAGCTGCGCACCGGTGGCCTGAGGTGATGAAGCACTAAGGCCGAGAGCAAAGACCAAGGGTCCAAAGGCAACTGGCCCTGCAAAAAGATCACCTTCTGCCGTACATGCATTCTGCAGAGTCGTCAGTTGCTCCAAAGATGTCAATACTTTTTCAGTCAACTCCGTCTGATGTCGAGTGCTTGTGGTTGCATGTGTGTGTGTATGGCCCGGTAGTGTTGCGCCAATACATATATATATATAATATACATACATACTTAGAGTATAATCGAATCATATAATGTAATATACCAATATACATACATATGTAAATAAATATGTATATATGTATCTATGTATATATATATATATGTATATATCATGCGCTAAGCACTTTTGCACGCCAACCGAAGTGCACCATGCGCCTGGATCTGAAGTGTTCCCGTCGCTTTGGGCTCAAGGCCGTCGGGTTGACAGTAAAAGGTGCCTGCCAGCCCCCAATTGCCTCAGGCGAAGGCGCGGCCAGATGCAATCCATGTGGGTTGAAAGACTTTGCTATTCCCTGCATGTTGGTTTGCAGTTCAAACCGTCCCCTGAAGGGGGTGGGACACACTTAGACACTAATTGCATATATACATGTATACATATATATATATATATATGCAACTACACATTTCAATGATTGCAAATATATATATATATATATATGCAACTACACATTTCAATGATAGCAACAGGAAGCATTGTTAAAACATTTCTACAAACGTGACTAGCGTGACTAGCTGATCCATGTGGCCCTTGAACTTGGGGAGCAATCAGCGGCTGCCGGTTGCCATTATTCTAATTGGCTTAGAGTCTTACAGGGATTCAATGGAAAGCATGTAGTTCTCACAAGGGGATCTAAACAACCATCGTGAGGGCTTTACTAGGGTAAATCCACATAAGGAGTTTTGACCATGTACCCGTTGCTTTGGTCTTGAGAAATGAAGACAAGCGACCCTTGAACTTTGATGCTTTCGTGTTTGTGCAAGCTGCAGGTACAGCTGCATGAAGCTGCTTTCCTTGATCCTATACAAGTGGAAGGAGGACAGGGCCACTTTCTGCCCTCTGAACATGGTTACCTCCCCTTGCTTTGTCCCAGTTGATCATCTCGCTGTGTTTAATGCTATCCCAGTTTTTGGTCCACTGAGTAAACCTCACATCATTGCCATCCAGGACAACAGCGTTGAGCTGGTCAATTGCGAAGAGTTGTCCAGCCCTCACAGCTGTGAATTGTCATTTGGCTGTGGGTCAAAGCCAATGGTACGATTTTGGGGTAGGTGCACCACCCATTTTTAGTCGATTTTGGTGGGGATTTGGATGTTCACTGGGGGTATGGGATTTTGACCCATGGCCATTTCTCACGTCAGGGAACATGCGATTTGTATGCTTTCCTGAGGTCCAACTTCAGTTTTTTCCACCGCGGTCCCCTCCGGGAGCACATCAAGCCACCAACTCAGTTGTCGCTCTTGCAGAACTTGGACAGACATGCCCAGAGCTCAAGGCGGCGGAGTTGAAACTGGTGATAGAGCTCTTGAGCATTGATGACAAGTGTCCGCTGCAGCTATGCGCGAAGGTTTCATAGCCGCTTGATTGCCTCGCGAACACCGCCAGGACACTTGACATGCCGGCGGATCACGGAGGATGCCCTTTTGGGGGTCGATACCAAACCTCCTCAATAATGGTCGGTGGACATTAATCCGCAAGGAAGTGATGTTAGCCCGGATTTAGAGTCACAGGTGGATGGCAAAACCAGAACAGAGCCGGACGTTTTCTTGTTGGGCCATTCAGAGACCAGCCAGGACAACGAAATAGCATCGACTTCGACCAGAACTTGGGGAAATGCTATTCTTGGTCGAACCCACAGGCGTCGGACATCTTGCACAGGGACCATGCTGCTGGTACCAGTCAAACTTGTAGCCCAATAACACGTCCACACTTGTCCCTGGCAATTCAGGAGCATAGGTGTCCTTTTTAGGAAAGGGTTTGTTCCATTTACATCTATTTTTGCCAAAAGGACACCTATGTTCGGGAGCTTGAATACAGCAACTGGCTCGGCATGCCGGATGTGCAATCCAAACGGCTTTGGCATGTGCGACCAGTTGTTGCTCTCCCGAGTGGGTTGACTGGCTCCAAACATGTGTGGCATACCTGCGCAACCTGAATGCCCTTCATGTTACTCCGAAGGCTCCCCGGAAGAGGTGCCCTTTGCTTGTGACCGACCAACCAAGGAACTTCAAGCGGGTGTGTGTGTGTGTGTTCTTTCAGAGTGTTTCAAGCGGGTATGCGTTTTGCGTTATTTTGAAGGGAAACCAACGGGAACCCGCTTATTCCCTGGCTAAACGCAACAGCCCGGCACTCTGGGCAATCAGCGCAAGGGCATCACTGCCACTGTGCTGGTTGATAGCCAGGTGCTCAGGGCTGCTGGAAGTGGAGAGAGCTGAAAAGGTCATGGGTATATGTTTGAATTGGCGCCCCTCGGGATGGTCATTGTTTAAGCTGCCCTGTTCAAGTGCGCACTTCAGTATTGAGCCATGTCAACCAGGGGTGTTCTTCTAAAGCAACCGTCAAAGTAGAATTCCGGATGGTGAGAAAGAAAGAACGAACGAATCAAAGAAGGAACCAAAGAAAGAGAGCGAGAAAGCAAGGACGGAAGGAAAGAGCCAGAAAGGAGAAAAAGAAAAACACAACTAATGAAACAAAAGAAAAGAGAAGAGGGGAAGAGGAGAAGACGAGAATACATGAGAAGAGAGAGGAGAGGAAAAGACGGAGAGCGAGAGAGAGAGAGAGAGGGAGAGAGAGAAATAATCAAAGTTCTTATGTCTGGAAGGCGCTTGCACAAGGGATAGCGGTGAATTCGCGAGCAGCAACATGGCTTGAACCTGCTTTGTCGGCTCACAGCCGTTCGTTTCGCAGGGAGGCTACACTTGATGGGGCGCCGGTGTTTGGGACTGCCTTAAATGTTAGGGACCTTTTTTCTTCTCCTTGAAACCAAAAGCAGTACTCTCTGAAAGGAACACGCGCGTTTCGAGGAGACGAAGTAACCCGATCCTCCGAGGCGAATATCCCATGAGAGTGGCTTTTGCGTTAGGCGCAGAGGCAGGGTGTAATCAATGGAAGGTGGGGTTCAGCTCGTGCTCATTGGACGGCCAGAGACGGGGGGGGGGGGTGATTCAAAGTGGGCAGTGTTGGAAGTATCGCTGCCAGGCCATCCGCATTTTCCTGGATACCATGAAGGGCCACTGGGAGGAACGCTGGCGTGAAGAATTGGGATGGTTTCTGTGCCAGTTTTGGAGCGTCACAGGGTGCGCTACATTCCCTTCAAACATCTTTACCAGGGGGAAGCTCACCGGAATGAGCCCAAAAGATGATGTTGAAACCACAAAGGGACATATAGGAACCCCTGTGACAAGTCATAGTTGCTCAGTGGCGCAATGTTCCCTTGGTTTAGCGCTTTCCTGCAAGCCAATAAGAAGCAAAGCAATGACCAAAGAAACTAAGAAGTTGGAAATGATGGTACGTACGAGCACCCAGTTGAGAGGGGGCCATCAGATCTGAACGGTCAATCAGAATCAGATGTGCTGCGACCGGGCATATTCGCTTGCTCCTGCAACGGGAAGCTTGCTCATTCAGAAGGAAGAGTTTTGTTTGAGGGATTTGCCAGAAGCTAGTGACAGTCGATTACGACCCACCTCTCGAAAAGCGGGGGTTCCGGCGAATCTCTCCTTGGGGAAGAGATGTTCCACCGTCCTGAGAGCTGTTCCCAAATTGACTTCGCACAGGATGCGACCAGCGACCAAGCACTTCAGTCCCCTGAGATTCAGGACCGGAGTTTGCGAGAAGACCAAGATTCATCAACTGGTCGAGCGGGGGGAGAGTCCCAGTGTGAGAATCCTTGCGTATTGGGGGGAGTGACCCGCCAGGTTGTGAGTGATTCGGAGCGTCAGTGAGTGCATGAGCGAGTGAGTGAGTGAGTGAGTGGGGTCAGTGAGTGCGTGAGTGAGAGGGTGAGTGAGTGATGAGTGAGTGAGTGAGTGAGTGAGTGAGTGAGTGAGTGAGTGAGTGAGTGAGTGAGTGAGTGAGGGAGGGAGGGAGGGAGGGAGGGAGGGAGGGAGGGAGGGAGTGCGTGCGTGCGTGCGTGCGTGAGTCAGTGCGTGAGTCAGTGCGTGCGTGCGTGAGTGAGTGCATTGGTGAGTGAGTGCGTGCCTTTTCTATGATGACCTTCATGACTGGCGAGTGTCCTTATGGCACTGATCCTGCACACAGGGTTTGCGTGAGTGTGATTTTGTGTGTTTCCGCCAGATGATGTGCTTGCTTGAAGAGAAGTGGCACCAGACCAAATTGAATGTAAGTAATTTCCCGGTTGTTTGTGAAATGAGAAACAAAGAACTGTCCTCCAGTTCTGTACCTCCTCCCACAATATCCTTTTTCGGGCTCCAGGCAGCATCGGGCTTAGGGGCTTCGTCAGCGTCAAAACCCCCTCAAAAAATCCCATGCAGTGGCGCTAGACCCTCTTCACCAAGTTCCAAAATCCTGCAGAAGTGCGGTGCTCAGCACACTGCGCTTTCGCTCGAGCTCCAATGGCCATGGTGGAAGAACTGGTGTAGTCTAGTGCAACTGAATCGAATTAGAGCAAAAGGTGCAGTAGCCCCAGGCAGACAAGCTGACCAAGATCGAGAAGGACTTGGAGGAGGTGCGATAGCACTGACGACCGCCCTTGTCCCCGATGGAAATTGGCAACAGATGGTGTTCGATGGTTTCTTGTACCGCAACTGCGATACGAGGCGTGTTAATTACATGTTCGTGTGTTTTGTTCGTGCAATTCATCCTTTGCGATGCTATTTGAATCTTAGGTTCGTTATTCAGTTGATTGCACGACGATCACGTGTTCCTCTTCATTGCACAAGGGGCAGATTGGCAAGCGCTTGCCAGCGTCCTCGCAAACAAACAAGTCGGCCTTCTTATCCCTTAGACGAGGATCTCATTTGGCTGTGGGTCAAAATTAAACCACCAGGGGACCGCAGGTTTTAGTCCACGTTTCCTTTTAACAGGGTTCCATTTTGAGA